TCTTGTTCCTTTCCTTTAGTCATGTTGTCTAGCCCTGCAGCCATTAACATGCAGGAAATATAAATGATACCATAATATAGACTAGATCAGTCTGCAATCTACCTCCCCTAAATCAGATGGCAGTTTACCAGGCATAAAACCCTAAACCAAGCAGTGGAGTTGAGTGGCCTGCCTTGAAACCAGACAGGTGAAGGTCAAGAAGATTGTTATGGTGAAGATAGGAAGAGAGTTGATTAAAGATAGCTCGCTCAAGTGCTTTGGAAAAAAAGGAAGAAGAGCAAAACAGAAGTAGAGAAGGAGGGCCGAAGAGATTGATAGGTGATCTGGATTTTTAGATTTTCATCATTTTCTTTCTGAAGCTTGCATAGTGGTTCCGTTGGCAAGTCAGACAACCACAGAGCTGGGGAGGACTTACGGACCTGTGAAAATAAGGTTGATGTGGTTACTGGCTTTGTGAGTAAGAGTGGAGGTTTGAGAGGACGTCTAATTCCTCCAAGAAATCTCCTAAAGGACCTGGTGGATGGTAGAGAACAACAATGGTTAATTGTACTGGATGAGTTACTCTCACAGCATATAATTCAAAAGACAACGGTGGAAAATGTGACAGCAGGTAGAGGGAAAAACTCCATTTGAGGGTGATAAGTAAACCTGTACCACCACCCCTACCAGTGTGTCTGGGTGTGTGGGTGAAAGAGTAGGCAGAGAGAGAGCAGAAGGGTTGGGTGTATTGGCCAGTGTGACCCAGGTTTCAGTTTCAGCTAGGAAGTCAAGTGATTGCTGGGTAGCAAAGCCAGAGATGAAGTCTGTCTTGCCCCCCTGTGACAATTTTAATTTTGACTGTTATCAATTAAAATCAATAACCCTTTACACTGTTATTGTTTACATTTTAACTAGTTAGAGCTGATACCTGATGGTGCACAAGTGATCCCCGTCTCTCTCGCCTCTCTCTCTTCCCCTCCCTTTCTCCTTTCTCCCTGTTAATGAGGGGGCTTTTCCTCTCCAATGTAGCCAAAGTGCTGCTCATTGTGGAAACTGTTGGGTTGATCATAATAATAAGATTTTAAGGTCTTGACCTTTTATGTAAAGTCCCTTGAGATAATTTATATTATGTTATAACAAATAAAATTAAATAAAATTGAATTGAATTGAAATGAATGACTCCCACAGTCAGCAAGATTCATCCAACTTCTGGGTTACTTTATTTTTTGAGAAATGTAGTAATAGGTTCTGGCTCAGGTGCTAAAAGCAAGCATTGTCAGCATTTCACACTGAGCCAAGTGGGGGGCTGCTTTCATTGTAGATGTACCATACATACAGTTTCGTCATTTTCAATTATTATTGCCAAGAAAAACTGCCAACACAGTGTGATGCAGATCATATGCAGACTGCATGGTTCTAGTCTGCCACATGATCCTATTTGACTGATGTTATAGAAAAAAACTATGTAAATGAAGATTAAAAAACAGTAATAATTATTTTAAGATAATAATTGCACTCATTGCGGCTGTGAGTAACAAAATGAACCACTGTGTGATACATATAAAGTAATTGTAGCATTTTTAAGGACTCAGCATGAACTGTCAATGTGCTGATGTCTTTTTACACTTCTTCAAAAATAACCTTACCCAACAATAAAACAATCATCATCTCAATTATAAAAATGTAATACAGATTGTTCCCCAAAGTCTTTCAATAATATTATTATTGATGAATCGACCTTTAGATAAAACGTGTTGATGTGAGCTTTATCAGATGATGCAGGACAATAATTTTTTTAATCTTTTAATTTGAAGTAGTATTTTACTTTGAAATGTCGTAGCCGGATATGTTAACTATGTATGCTGTGGGACCTGACGTGGTGAAATAATAAATCGCGGAGCAGTGCCGCTCCCTCAGGATGTAGGTTGCTGCGTCTCAGTACGAGAGCATCCAGAAGCGAATGTCTCGCATGTTCACTCAGTTGTCCTTGTGCGACAATAGAAAGTCACCTATAACTCGACGGAAACTAAATAACGCAACGTGGTGATACAGGGAAAAGTAACCAGGAATTGTTTAATTTACCATATTTCTCCATAACTATCCCAACCGGCGTCTAAGAAAGCTGATTCTCCAACAAATAGTAGTATAGGAAGAGCATGATTTCCTACAAAATGTGGAGCGGGTATTAGTTTATTGTCCATAGGTAAGTCGTTGCTTGTTTTAAAGTTGGTCACCACAGCGACTCGACGGAAAGAGATGACACAAAGCGCCACAGACAGGGTGAAAGACATGGAGTCTCTGCTTCTGTGCCGTGAGGCGGACAGGCCTGCCAGGGCTTACCGGGACTCCAACCTGTTGACTGACCGGGTCCTGCGTGCGCTCCTGCGAGCTCAAGACAAGTACCTCCCAGCTTCCAACTATTTCAAATGCGTCCAGAGAGAAATAGTTCCGTACATGAGGAGGATAGTGGCTATCTGGGTGTTGGAGGTGAGTTAAATCCAATATACGGCTTTACGTGTTGTACAAAGATAAAAATCAAATAAGAGCTGGTACCAGGGTTTGTGTGTAAGTCCCGCATAGTCCCCCACTTCACTATTAAGTTACAACTTTAGGTTCAGGCAGCTCAGGAGCACCGCTATATACTGGGGTCAGGTAGTCCAGCGTCTTACACAGCACTTTATGATTTTCAGCGCTATAATACGATCACTACCAACAATAACAATCAAAACGATATTGGTCCAGCATGAACGTTTTCCAACTAAGTGTCGATGCCTAGTAGAAGTTGTACTTTTAAATATAAGAAGGAACTAAAAGAGGTGGTCTTCTTCATCTATAACAAATTAATCCTACTAAAAACTAATTTCATGTCAACTTTAGGTTATGCCTGTATTTTACAGTAAATGTATGGAACTGGAGTCTGTCACCTTTTGGTTTTTGTTTAAACTTCTCAGTACATTATATGAAACTGAGTAAGACAGCAGCTTTTCACATTAGAGAAGCTGTGAAGAGCAATGTTTGGTTGGCAATCAGTCATTGACTTAAATCATTAAAAATCTAAATAGTTTTTTTCTAATGGCTCCCTCCAACAGGATAATGCTCCATGTCACAAATTAAAAGGTGTAACTTAGGCAGAATTGGTGTCCTGTTCGTCTGTTCAGGTGTGTGAGGAGCAAAGATGTGAGGAGGAAGTTTTCCCACTGGCTATGAACTACATAGACCGCTTCCTGTCAGTGGAACCCACCAAGAAGAACGATCTTCAGTTATTGGGAGCTGCCTGTATGTTCCTGGCATCCAAACTGAGGAAGACAATCCCACTCACTGCTGAGAAACTCTGCATCTACACAGACAACTCTATTACACCTACTCAGCTGATGGTAGGTCATTCAGGGTTAATCATCACATTTCATTATCCTAGCTATTATACTGTAATGTCACTTCCTGTTTGTGTTAACCTTTAATCTCTGATAATACTTTAACTTGTGCCTCTGTCCATCTCTTCTCATCCACTCAAAGCAAATGGAGTTACTGGTTTTGAACAAACTCAAATGGGACCTGGCTTCAGTAACCCCCCTTGACTTCATCGACCACTTCCTGTCCCAGCTGCCTGTCAGTAGAGAGAGCAGGACCATACTCAGGAAGCACGCTCAGACCTTTGCAAAGCTGTGTGCCACAGGTATATATCGCTCTCTGGTGGCATTCTCATTAGCTCTTTTTTCCCCAAAGTCGGTGCCACTGAGACACTCGTAAGAGTGTTAGACTTGTGTGCTGCACCCAAGGCTTAAAAGGACTAACTCTGATTATATCCTTTACTGCCCCCCCTTGGCAGCGCCCAGAGGCAGACTGAACCATTAGGCAAAAGTCGGCAATTGCCTTGGACCCCCGAACTACCAGGGGCCCCCTAAAGTACTTTTTTGTTTATTAATCATTTCCTTCTAAAAGTCCATACGCTAAAACGGCATTAGAACGCCTATAATTCACAAGTTACTAGTGTCTCTGCAACCCCCCCCACAATGGACTATTCCATGAGTGCATCCACGAAGGTGATTCAGGGTGTAAACAGAGACTGAAGAGAAGTGTTGCACCAGTTCACACTTATAAGAACTAGTTCAGGTCATAAAGATGAAAATTAACTAGTTCACGTTCATTTGTTCCGTTTTTATTGGGATTATATAGATGATGATCATGTGTCATCAATGGTGTCGGATCATGAATCTGTGTCGTTCCGGTCATTTTAACCTGACTGTGAGCGTCTCGTCTGATGTTGTACCGAGCGCACACATTATGTGAATGACTCATTTTTCATGATGTTTAAATGCAGTCTCATAAACTCTGGAATAGGGTTGCAAAGGAGCGGAAAATTTTCGGTAAATTTCCAGAAACTTTCCATGGGAAGTTAAGGTTGGGAATTTTGGAAATATTCCAAATTGGAAACTTTCCATGAGAATTATGGGAATTTATTGGAATTATTGGGAATTTATGGGAATTTATTGGAATTATTGGGAATTTATGGGAATTAACTGTAAATTGGGGGTAACTTAAACAAACTGGATCATATCCAAATATAAATATTTTTGTTTTGTCATCAGCAGACATCCATGCAAAATAATACAATTAAAAAACATGACATTTCAACAGAACTATAGTTGGTGTTGGTGATGTATGAATTCTTGTATGTTTACAGAAAACCATCTTGCAGGAGTCTGAAGAAACAGAATCACATTTGAGGTAGCTACCGCCACCATAATAAGCTAGCCTCTTAAATGGTCAACGAAATGAAAAATAGCTTACATTTATCACCTATTTTTAATTTAATATTTCCAAGTTAAACATCAATACTATTATAGATCAAATATATTTACTCCATATTATTATCAAAACTTACTTGACTTCAGATAGTTCAGGCTCAAATGTGTGGCTTCAGTAGTCTTGAAATCAGATGTGCATGTGATGGAGGAATGCACAGTGCATGTAGGGGGTGTGGCCTCAATAGCCCTGCAGTAAGCAGTGTGCTGTGTGCATGTGATTGAAGAGTGTACGTGAAGTAAATCTGGTTGATTATGCTACAATATATTTTCCCCAACTATATTTAAGTTCCCTGTTGAGGGCCAACCTCCAATTTTGTAAATTTCAGATTTATTCCCATTAATTCCTGTTAATTCCCATAGAAAGTTTCCAACTTTGAAAATTCCCAAAATTTTGCGACCCTACTCTGGAATCAAACAAACAGTGAGTTACTTCATGTAGTGATCAGGTCCTGTTACCTAGTGAGGATTGTTAGTTATTAGTTAAAGTGAGAGCAGCTCAGAGTGGAGGAGCAGCTCAGTTTTCACCATTTCCACTGATCTCACTGTGTGTGTCTCTCTGAGTGAGTGATCGGGGGTGGGGCCCCCGGAGCCTTTGTTTGTGTACGCACCGTGAGTGCATTTGTTAAACTGTTAATATGTTTGGTCGGGTTGGGAAGAAGTAACAAGTAGGACTTTCTTAGATAAATAAGATTTGAAAACAGATGGAGAACAACGTATGCGGAGGGTCCCATGCCTGTGTTTGCCTTGGGCCCGCAAATTGCAAAATCATCCACTGGCAGCACCACTGCACCGCAGGTCAACAAGTTACTCTGCCTGCTCCTCTGATGTTTTGTAATCACTCACACTTAGAACTGATCTTTATTAAAACCTGCTGAATTCATATTTATGTTCCTGGATAAACCGGACCTTTAATATGCATTATAGTTATTCATTGGCGGGACATTGCTCAAAACAACATGAATTGATTATGTTCTGTCACTGCATCGAAGCAGGGCCATCCTCGCCATACTGCATCTAAGTAAATCTAAATGTCCACAGCTCCAGTGCTCACCACTATGCTGGAGTAATGGAGGGTGGAGAGGGCATTGGAACTCTGCAAAGTCTCATCTCCGGACGTTATATTTTGGTTTTTATTACATTTCAAATATTTGTTTGATAGGGAATATAATGTTAATTAAAACTTTTTTTTAAAAAAGAGCACCCCAGAGCGCTTTCTCTTGAGGAAGGAAAAGGGCAGGGGCTCAAGCCCCCATAGATTTGCTTCACACCATTTATCATGACTTATACATTCATTTTTAATTTAGTCTCTACACTGCAGCCATCTAAAACCCAACAGACCACTCTTAGCCAACTTAGGAGAAAGTAAAAAATATATATTTCTAAGTAAAGGAGAAGGAACTGTATAGCTATCTGTAATTTTTATCTATAGGTGTTTATTAGCAGACAGTTGACCTCCTGAGCCAAAGGCTGTTAGCTTTATTTTCCACTGTGACCTGTAATGCTGAAAATGTACATTGTGTGCACGTGCTAGGTGGTGAGTGGATAGTGAGTGAATTTAAATTTTTCTGTGAACTATCCCTTTAATGGGGAAAAGGCTGCTGATGGGGCAGCTAATCTTGCATGGCTGCAAATTAACACAGAATCAACTTAAATCTTAAAAGTAATTGAAGGAAACCTTTGCAGTGATTTTTTTCCCTTATGCCACTGCCCTGCAAAAAATGTCCCACCTGTTAGAGTGTAGACATAAAGGCTCGGATTGCTCACCTTCTCAACATTTTTTGTCTAATGTCTACCTCTTGATTGTGAGAGTAAGAGAAAATGGTTGCAACTGTGATGATTTTTCTAGGATTTTAAATTTGGATTTATGATTTGAAAAAACACTCTTTCAACACTGAGCTAATTTCAGTCTTACATCTTTTACTACGGAGGTTTGAATAATTAATGTGTTTGCTTCTTATTTGTTTTCATCATCAGCTATATAAAAGGTGCCACATTAACCGTAAGCTGTATTATGATGCTCTGCAGATAATAAATTCATAGCCAGCCCTCCATCCATGGTAGCAGCAGGCAGCATGGTGGCAGCAGTGGAGGGCTTACAGATAAAAATGGTGGGAAATGCCTTGATGGCACAGAAACTGACAGAGCAACTTGCACAAACCATCAGGAGTGACTCAGTAGGTACATCTGTCTCTGACATGACAAGTACACATTACATTCACTCCCACTGAACAATTTCCATAATAACTTTCACTGTCTCTCTTCAGGACTGCCTTCGAGCATGTCAGGAACAAATTGAGCTGTTGCTGGAAAACAGTCTCAGACAGGCACAACAGCAAAACTCTGTTGCTGTGGAAACTAAGAACATTGGCGAGAGGCAGGACCTCTCAACTACCCCCACAGATGTCTGTGACATAAACATCTGACTGAGATGAGAAGCACGTTGAACTGTTGAGGTAAATGGTCATTGTGGACACAAGGGGTGTGAGTGCTTGTGTGCTGGGACCAGAAGGATGTTGACTGGAGTGTTGCAGCAAACTAGGAGTAGCTCCACATCACATTAAAATAAAATGTGCTCTAAAATCCTGTAAATAAACGTGTATTTGAAAATGAGTGTTTACTGAAAGCTGCATTAGCCTATTCTGAATCACGTTGCTTCACATCATTTATCATGACTTATACATTCATTTTTAATTTTGTCTCTACACTGCAGCCATCTAAAACCCAACAGACCACTCTTAGCCAACTTAGGAGAAAGTAAAACATATATATTTCTAAGTAAAGGAGAAGGAACTGTATAGCTATCTGTAATTTGTATCTATAGGTGTTTATTAGCAGACAGTTGACCTTTTATTAGTTAAGGAAGATTGTATTGATTTGCCATGGTTGTACTGTAAAAAACTTTATTACTCTCTTCTATTTCAATGTGGGTGTTGCCCTCTCCGCTCACTTGTCACATCGGTCCTCTGAATAATATTAGAAGCATCTGCGTGTATAGTGAATTGTTTGTCAGTCTCTTTGGACGAAAAGAACTTGAACTCTATTTTATTCCAGCCACGCATTCAGCAAGTCTTTCTGCTCTCCTTGAAAAAGAGGCAAAGCAGTAGAAGTTTTGTAAAATAAAGACCTCAGGTGTTATTTACTTTATGGTATTTATTATTACATGACTTGACACTATCACAGGGACATTGCAAATAAAAGTTCTATTAAAAGAGTTAAGATGTGGGTTTGTCTTGTATCAGCTCTTCTATTAACATTCCCATAAATAGGCAACAAAATCTTTTTACCTACTGTTGTGATTATTGTATCTTAAATGGTGTGCTTTTGGGCATACAATAAATTTGGCTGTCAGAAAAATATTAATATTAAAAATATTAATATTAATCAATAACTTTAATTGATAAAAGATAAATATGGGCACAACCCTTCCAAGGAAGGGGAAAGATAGCCAATTTATTGAATAAGTCTCATGAAATTACTGGCTACAAATTTGGAATTTAATAATTAAATAAATAACTATAACCAAAATTACCACATCAATAGCTAGCAAAGTTCAAGGATATGGAGTTCTTGACAGTGCAGAGGTTGGCAAAATTCACAAATATGCAACATTAATGAAGACGTGTTTTAAAGAAAAACATTTATTATGAAAATAATAAAAGTATAAACACACAAACTAACAAAAAGTGTACTTATTATAGAAAGATGTGCAGATGTGTGTGTGTGTGTGTGAATGAGATTCAACGTGGCAGCTGGCTACTTTGACGACAAAAGGCCCCCTGGAGTGGTGGGACCATGTGGCTGAAATCATACGTATGTGTTAAGTTTGTGGAGATGAGTGTGTGAGGTGTTGGTACCAGGTTAAAGAAAGCAGTTAGATGCAGGCAGAGAAAGTGAACAGCATAACATAACTAACATTAGCTTTCAAATAACATATTACCAAATATCACAATAACAAAAGTAAAAAAACATCACATGAAATAGAATTCAACAGTCCTTTGCTTAGCCTAGCATAATAATAAAGCCCAGTTGTGTTACCAGTCCATGAAAAGGGGGTGAAGTGGTCTTGTTGGTTTATGGCTCCTGTTGTGCATCTGCGGGTCAGACCTTATGTCGTGGCCAATTGTGCTGAAGTTCTTAGGCAGCCTTTTGCGTTATCTGGAGTCTGCTCCAGGCAGGCTTGCTTGAAGTTATGTTGCATGAACAGTAAGTTACACACAATTGAAATTTACCTTGCTCTCCCTCAGATCACACACACACACATTACAGAGGGAGTGCAGGGGAGTCATTATACAGCGTCCATAAAGCAGTTGGGGGTTCGGTGCCTTGCTTGCTTGGTCTGGCGGGGGACTCGAACCGGCGACCCTCTGGTTCACAGGACGGCTCTCCCTGGACTGTGCGACGGGAAAAAGGAGAGTGGGGGATTTCTCGCAAAAGAGTTGGAACAAAATGCTGGCCTTCTGGTTAGAGAACGATTTATTTTACCCCCTCAGCCCCATGAGCGGCGGAGAGCATGTACAGTATGTTTGCAGTTTTTGCAAATATCAATGTGTAGGCAGAGATGGCCTTAGCATTTATGGTGCCCCTAGAATTTGAGGGGACTCCCACCCCCTCTGTGTCCCAATATTATTGACCATTGTCAATGCATGATCACACACTGTAAAAATTACTCATTGTCAATTGTATTAGTTGGAGCTGTGTTCCTTATAAGAAGCCTTTATACTTCTATTGTTTTTAATCATAAGTATGCACACAGACACACAGGACCAAACCAGCCTTTTATTTCTTGATTGGTAAGGTAAGTTAAGTAATAAAAGATTATCAATAAAAATCTTGCTCTACCCACAGTCATAAAAAAACATAAAAACAGGTACTGTAAAAGAAATGAAAATTACAATTAAACCCTTTTAATGAGATCCAATAGCTATGCTTGAATATATTACTTTGGTTCATAACTGTGTTCAGTGGAAGTAGTGAACTGGTGGAGGCATTTGAATAATTTTGGCAGAAAGCAGATGAGGAGCAGTGAGGAGGAGTCAGGCTTTTGTGTTAAGTGTACGACCAATGTGCTTCAATCAATCCATGAACCCAGGATATTTTCTGTAGTTTAGTAATGAGACCAGGACTGCATTTACCCACATTCTCCATTGCCGCTCATAGAAAAAAAGTGCTGCCCATATATGCAAAGAAACTGTACTGTAAACACTTTGAGTGGTCATCAAGAATAGAAAAGCGCTATTTAAATAGACCATGTAATGCAGAAAATGTCCTCTCCAGGACAGCAGATCATCAAATCATCGTGTCAAAAAAGTAAGCACAGTATAGTCCAATCAGATCTAATGAGATGAAAGAATTTTCAATATCTGGACACGTTTCTCAATTGGCCATCATCAAATTTAGCTGACATCTCTGCAAATCTATTGCAGTCAACTAAGCCAAGGAAATCCAGTTCCTCCATCCAGCCATCCCAGTCTTCCGAGATCTCCATCATCTTCTGGAACATGTGGCAGGAATCCAGTAGGTGGTGGAGGATAGTTTGTACCAACCTGGAGTTGGAGTTCCACTGGACAGAGGATGCTTTTGGGGTGCAGCATTTCAAAGTGTATTCCAGCAAATGTGTGCGATTTGTAGGCTTGCTGAAAACTTATGTGAGCCCTTCAACAGTGAACTTCCAATGCTACAAAAGATCTTGCACATATATCATTTTTATATGACAACTGATAAAATCAGAGAAGGCTTTAATTAGATCATTCTGGTCTGATTTGATGTGCCAGTAAACACATTTGTGTTTAAATGCGTAACTTACTTGACACGCAGTCCTGGTTTCGACTAACTTGATCTGTATATCTTGTCATCATTTTCTGCCAACATATGTAACAGTTCAACATTCCATTGATTGGCAGAGCCACTGCTCTCATCGTTTCCCCGAAAGGCCAACTCTTGTTTGGCTAGAAAACAGGTCACATCAATGAGGCTTTTTAAAATGTCTCTGTTTTCTTTTACCTTAGCATCGTGCATGTTGATATGGAGCCTGCATTGCTCATCTAGGGCCATATCAATGCAAACCTTGCCAAATGTTTTTAAGGCGATTTGAGAATGGACATGGGCCATGGATTTTTCCTGCTTTAGCAGAGCTCTCAGTATATTGTTCAGGTCACAGTATCCACCTTTCATCCACACACTCTCACTGCTGGAAATTTGAAAAGTTCTGTAATTTTTTGCCCCTTCCACTGGGTCCTGCAGGTCCTCTGTTGGTTTCCCACTAGCAACTACAGCTCTCTTTTCGTTATAAGACTATGTTGAAAATCTTTTTAAAAAATAGGAAATCTTGAGAACCAAGATACCTGAGGCAAAACCAACTACAAATGAAATATACAAAATTAAATAATAACTACAATTGGTGGCGACTGCTCTTTCTAGGATTTTGCTGAGGAAAGGAAGGTTCATCAAAAGCTTATAAGCATGAATGCATATTACAGAGAATATCATAAATAATTGTTTTGGACATTCAATTTTTGTCTGTTTTAATACTTATGGAGTCAGTTGATTGTAAAAAGCGAGTCTGTGACAATTTAACTCTAAAAGCCTCCAACAAGGAAGGACAGTTGTATCAACTGGAATATAAAGTTTTAAAAATGTGTGGTTGAACACCAAATCAGAAATCTTGTTTAACTTATATATATATTACTCTTTATTCTTCATTTTTCATGCTTGTTGATTATCTTGCTGTTGCAATGCTAATTTCCCAATCCTGGGACAATAAAGGAATTCTGATTCTGATGTTCATCTACCAAAAATTGTTGTGTGTAACCAGGTACTTGTGCTGTTACTTAATATAATTATTTTTATCACATTCTGCTGAAACTTTGTCAGTGAAATTATTGGTGTGTATCAACGGAGTCTGCAATATTAGGCAGATTTATATAAGGACAAGCTAAGTAGGGTTTTGAAAGCATATCAACGAAACCAAGACATTTTACAAAACTCAATTGCAGATTGAAAATGAAAACTGGTCATCCAGACTGGAAAAGCACTTTATAAATACAGACCATTCACCATATATATCCAACCCATAAACAAACAAAGCTATCTTACTGTCAGAATAGAAGTTGTATGCATTTCCTGCTCGTAAGATGGTGAAAATGTGAGTGGCAACCTCTCCAGTGTCATTCTGTCTGTGTAGTCTTTGTTTTTCTACTTACTTTTATCTTTTTTGTACTGCACGCATTGGGAAGATCACATTATAACCTATGGATTAGGATTTTTATGTCTTTGTCCTGGGAGAGGGATCCCTCACATGTTTTTTTCCCCTGTTAAGAGGGACTCTTGTATAGGGTTAGGGGCAGAGGATGTTGCACCTTGTTAAGACCTATGAGACAAATTGGCTATAGGAATAAAATTTGATTGATTGATTGATTGATTTGCAAGACAGTCGAGGAAGCCTTATTTATTGAAGGGAAAAACTGATCTCACTGGGTGAACAGAAAAGTCCATTCTACACTGGAGGAACTGCAGCTAAGGTAACAGGGCTAAAGAGCGGACACTAAAACAAACTGGAAATATAAGCCCTCTATTCCACCTGTGGTGATGGTCAATGTAAACTCGCTGGCAAGCGAGACAAACGAGCTGGATTTATGTGGATTTACCTGGATTCCCCACTGTGAGAGCAGACAGGGACACGAAGTCGAGCGGCAAGGATGTTAAAACACTGTGTTGAGTCAATCTGCGGGAAGAATTTATGTCTGCAAGAGTGTGTGTGTGCTCGTCTCTGTCATTCTTCACACACAAACTGATCACATTATGGCTTGTGTTGTATAGCAGGTATAACCATGTGTCTCATAAAAGTGAATCAAACAAACACAAAGTAAACGTCATCTGTGATGGTGTTAATTGTTAAAGTGTAAAGTTAGCGCAGGTCAGAGGGGGAGTGAGGAGGAAGCAGACTCCGACAGGAGACTCTGACACATACAGGACGACCATACCTTTAATGTGCGTCTGTCCTGTCCTGAGGCAGTGGGGGTTATAATTATTCAGTGTTGGAAATCTGCTAAAACAATGAACACAGTGGAAAATAAGAATTGATTATGTTCTGTCACTGCGTCAATGCAGAGTCATTTCACTCTATGCAGGAGCCCAACAGTAGCACATGTGCTCCTGCTCCTACACTATGTGCTGTGTGTG